AGGGACCATAACTTCGAGAGCCTGAGGCCCGGTTGAATCCTTGGACTCTCTGTCGCTCGAGCCGATGTATGAGAACGATAGTGACAAGCTCATGTTGGCAGAAGGGCCATCTTGGAATGAGGAGTTCGAGAGGGTGATCTAGAGCCGACTCGTTAACTTACAACATAAGGCTACGAGTGAGCACCATAGTGGTACTAATATTTGTTGATCACCAGAATCCACATCACGGGCACATGATGATGGTGGTTTTTCCTGCATTAAGTGGAAAACATAAACAGAAGTTAAACAGGCGATTTTGTGGGCATTTTACAGGCATAAATAGACCATAAAGTTTCAAAGCTCGATATTGTGTTTTGAACACTTCTGCATGTACATTAGCAACATGAAACAGTTCAAAACCTAAGCATTCATTACGTTAAAGTTAGCATTCGCAATGAAACACGCAAACAAGGCAAGCGACAGACAGCAAGAAAACAAATCTAGAATCATATGTTGAAAACACGGTGTAGGAAGTTATATTTATATGAGTATGCGTATGTATACATATATTCGGCTATATGCAAATTTAGATTCAGTTTTTTGTAGGAATGGAAAAGTGCAATTTTATGCAGATCCTAAAGGTTGTACGACTATGATTGTTCTATGCCTATTCCTAACAGTATGTAAAAAAGGATGTATGCAAAAGCCAAAAAGTTTAGGATTTAGGGTTTCAGGGCTTTGCACGAGCGAAGCTGCGCCAGGACCCAAAGGACACAAAGCCGATGTCCAAAGTCCGTCAGAGAATGCAGGAGGCAAATATCGACTTCGCGGATCTCTGAATGGCCTAGAACATGTTAAACCTTAGACACTGAAACCCTAAACCCTAAACCCTAAATTCCCACCCGGCCTGCTTCGGCCGTACCCACCCTTTTCTAGGGTGCCTGGACCCAGAAGATACCCGGCAGTGATGGACACCTTTACTGGATGGACAATGGGAGCCATTGGAGAATGGTCGAATAGAGGGCCCCTAGGGCTCCAGGGTCCGCCATGGGGGGTACCCCTTCCCGAGCCAAAACGCCGCCCTTGCTGACCCCCCCTACCTGGCCCGTCCCTGACCCCCCCCCCCCTCAAGCCGCCGCCCTAGAGCCTGGCCTCAACTGCCTCCTGTCTTCCCCCTTACCTGACCCCCGCCCCACTACCTTCACCACGCCTTTTGTAGGGAAAGCAATGGTGGGAATTGAGGGCGACAGCCCTAAACCCTAAAAGGCAGTGGTTTGGGTGCTGGCCTGTGAAAGCTCACAGCGGGTGGGGAGAAGAACCCAGCACCAATGAAATTGTTGGATTACATTGACAAGAGATGCCTTCGCGTGACATGCCGCCCCCCACACCCCCTGGGTGTGTAGGGGCGCCATTTACGCATGGCACTTACTCACTTACTGCCGCTGCGCGGCGAGACGCCCTAAACCCTAAACCCTAAACCCTAAACCCTAAACCCTAAACCCTAAACCCTAAACCCTAAACCCTAAACCCTAAACCCTAAACCCTAAACCCTAAACCCTAAACCCTAAACCCTAAACCCTAAACCCTAAACCCTAAACCCTTAAACCCTGGAGGCTGGAAATGACTAGGGTTTGCTTTTGCGGTGAGATTCGCAGGCCAGGCTTCTGCGGCTAGGCGTTTGCTTTGTCAGATATTTCGGGCTTTTCAGGTTGGGATGTTCCCCCTGATACGAACAGTCCTGAATTAGAGTTTAGGGTTTAGGGTTTAGGGTTTAGGGTTTAGGCCCCTATTGTAATCCCGATTAAGGACTGTTAGTTTAAGGGGGGAACATCCCAATCTTCAGGTTTCAAAGACAGGAGACGTAAACAGCAAGGCCTCAGATAAAGCCATGTCGTGGCAATCGAAGCTGTCAGCACACAGCCGATTTGTACAGCACCTTGACCCCCACTTGTAGTTCCATTTGTCCGGTACCTGAGGGAATGGCTAGCAGACTGCAACCGCAAGATTAGGGAATGAGGGCCCTACAGAATCCCTTAAAGGGTATAAAAAGTATAAATATAAATGTAAAAATAAAAATAAATATAAATATGAATATGAATATGAATATAAATAGGAATATAAAATATATAAATAAATAGAAAAAATGTATATATGGCCCTAACTCCCTCGCTCAAAGGAATTACAATGTGGGGATCTAAGGTAGGTTCACGAGGAGAAGCTCGGCGCGCCACGCCCGATCCGTTGCCAAACATCGACCTGCGAACCTGTGCAACATTCCCTACTAACCCCCCTCTAGGTTCCCTCGCTCAAATAACCTGAATTAGGTTTAAATGTCTAAATAGCCTTGAAGAGGGGGAACCTAGAAGGGGTGGTATGATTGGGGTAGTAGGGGAGCCCGTGAGACATCTTGGGGCTGGGGCTTACTGTTTAGGGTTTAGGTCTTCAGCGAGCACTGTACTCCAGACCCTACAAGCCCTTAAACCCTAAGCCGCAACCCGTACCCGACTTCTTGGGGCACCGTCTGTAGTTTTGTTGGGGTTTAGGGTTTAAGGCTTTAAGGGTTCTGGCTTCAGGGTGATCCGAGCGAACGTGCAACGTCCAAGTCATGGGCCCTGTTGTTTGGTCTCTACGATCGAAGCTCCGTTTTTGCTTCGCGCACCTAGGCCCTAAACCCTCAACCTCCATACGCTGGCTCCATGTCACGAATGAACTTTGCCCGCGGCCGTATTCTGCTAAAGCTGCTAAAGGGGAGGGCCAACCCTAAAAACCCTAAGGCTTAAACCCCAACTGCAGTCCTAACACCCCAAACCCTAAACCCTAAGCCTAAACCCTGCAATCCTATAAACCCAAACCCAAAACCCCTTAAACAACTAAATCCTCCACTGCCCCAACCTCCAGTCCCTCAGCGCCTCAGCCTGAGGAAGTTCGCCGTTGATTTTAGGCGGGAACTCTAAACCCTAAACCCCAAACCCCAAACCCCAAACCCCAAACCCCAAACCCCAAACCCCAAACCCCAAACCCCAAACCCTAAGCCCTAAAACCCAAGAAGCCGATGCCTGAACTCCAAACCCCGCACCGAGACTCTACTACCCCGCAAGACCGCCTGAACCACCCTCGAACATGGTGTTTGTCTCCGAATTTCCCCCCAATCTCTCCTCCCTAATCCTATAGACACCCTAACCCCTAAACGTTTAGGGTTTAGGGTTTAGGGTTTAGGGTTTAGGGTTCTAGTTTACTGGGGATCTTAAGCACAGAGCCGGCATAAAAGCCTGTGCGGCTTTTCCTCTCATGGCCGGCGGCCAGCGCAAGCATGACCGGTTCTGCGGGGACCCAGAGCTTGGGGTTTAGGGTTTGGGGTTTAGGGGTTAGGGTTTAGGGTTTAGGGCTTAGGGTTAAGCATCATCACCTTAGTGACGCCGGCATAGGAGCAACCGCAGCAGGGTTTAGGGTTGAGGGTTGAGGGTTGAGGGTTAAAACCCTCCTGAAAGCCTCATCCCTGAAACCCTAAACCCTAAAACCCTGAAGCTTCTAGAAGCCCCAAAACCCTCTGAAACCCTGTAGGGCAGATATCTGGCAGGAAGCCAGCACAAGGCCCATGACCTTCAAGTAGCCCTAAACCCTAAACCCCAAACCCCAAACCCCAAACCCCAAACCCTACACCCTAAACCCTAAACCCTAAACCCTAAACCGGTTGCGTCTCAGGCCCGGCCCATCCCCGACATCAAAGACCTGAAAAGCTGCTCGGCCGCCACGACCCTGAAATCTTAAGCCCGTAAACCCTGAACTGCTAAATCCCTAAACTCCTAGACCCCTAATTGAAGGGTTAAACTCTTAAACCCGAACCCTCAAGCCTTCAACCCCTGCAACCTTTGCACCCAGAACCCAAAAGCCCTAAACCCTCAAAGCGGGACTCGGACGCCCTAAACCCTAAACCCTAAAGCCTTGAGAGCTCTTCGGGTTTGGGAGCCTCAGGGCTCTGGACCTTGCCTGGGCTCCTAAAACCCTAAACCCTAAACCCTAAACCCCAGGGTTCTGAAGTATGGGCTCTTATTTGAAGAGGGTATATAGGGTATATGAAGGGGCCGCCATTTAAGGGCCTATATTCAGGGACCATGTAGCTACCCTAAGATGGACTCATCTGCAAGGTTTAGGGTTTGGGCTTATTGTGGGGGCGAAACTGGGAAGGCTGTTTTGGCAGGGCGTCCTTGGGATTTGCAGTATGGTTTAGGGCTTGGGGTTTGGGGTTTAGGGCTTTAGGGCTTGGGGCTTGGGGCCCTTAAGCAGTCAGGCACGGTGCTCTCATGGGACTTCTACAAGGCTGGCTGGGCGTGGACCTTGACCCTGAATCAACTCTAAACTCTAAACCCTAAACCCTAAACCCTAAACCCTAAACCCTAAACCCTAAACCCTAAACCCTAAACCCTAAACCCTAAACCCTAAACTAAACCCTAAACCCTAAACCCTAAACCCCAAACCCTAAACCCTAAACCCTAAATCCCGAACCGGAGTTCCGGTTGTTTGAGGGACGTGGGGGTTTGGGCATGCTGCAAAAACCCCTATTGGCCAGAACCCGTTCTAATTCTGGATGAATCCACAGCGTACCAACACCCTCGCCAGGATACCAATAAGGGGCTAGGAACCGAAGAACCCCAAATAACTTTCAGCAATCCCCCACGTTGAGGGTGGCACGTGCGCTTTTGGGCCATGTTGGATGGGCTACTAGACCCTAGTAAACAATAATCACAACTCCTCAAAACCGCCCTGTGTAGGGCTTCTTATGGGGAAATGAAGGCCTGGATGTTGGGTTCCGGACGTAGGGTTTTGAGTTGTGCTAGAAGGTCTTCGGGCTTGGGGTTTAAGTCTTTGCGTTAGGTAGAGCTTAGGGTTAGGGCTCAAAAAAGGGCTTAGAACCCTAAACCCTAAACCCTAAACCCTAAACCCTAAACCCTAAACCCTAAACCCTAAACCCTAAACCCTAAACCCTAAACCCTAAACCCTAAACCCTAAACCCTAAACCTAACCCTAAACCCTAAACCCTAAACCCTAAACCCTAAACCCTAAACCCTAAACCCTAAACCCTAAACCCTAAACCCTAAACCCTAAACCCTAAACCCTAAACCCTAAACCCTAAACCCTAAACCCTAAACCCTAAACCCTAAACCCTAAACCCTATAAACCCTAGGTAAACCCTAAACCCTAAACCCTAAACCCTAAACCCTAAACCCTAAACCCTAAACCCTAAACCCTAAGCCCAGGTTCGGTGTTGCTTTGTGTAGTTCTCCATAAGTCCTCAGCAGTCCATGCTCGCGGTTTTCGGCGACCGCCAACATATAAAAGCCATGCACGCCGATGTCCCGAAAGCTTACCGTAAGCCCTAATTCCATGGGTTTCCCTACGACCTTTGGGTTTAGGGTTTAGGGTTTAGGGTTTAGGGTTTAGGGTTTAGGGTTTAGGGTTTAGGGTTTAGGGTTTAGGGTTTAGGCCCCCCCTCTATACTACCCCCACGTAGGTTCCCCCTTGTATAACCATAGTTAGGCTTAGTTAGCCTTAAGTATGGGGGGAACCTGAGGGGGGGTTAAGGGGGTTATATAGTAGGGGAACCCATGATAATTGTCTAAGCAGGACATCCTCGATGAGGGTGACCTGGAGAGGGTGGAGGACAGAGCAAACGACATGCACTTGCAGGCTTAGGGTTTGGCGTTTGGTGATCAGGGTTTGGGGTATCCAAACCTGAGCCTAAACCCTCAAGCGGGAAAGTCGCGGATCATCGTACCTGGAACCGTTCCCCCTGGGGACCAATGCCACCAAATGCTGCCCAAACCCGAGAGCGTTGATTTTGCACATCCGCACCCCCCCCCCCCCCACACCCTAAACCCTTCTGCAAACCCTAAACCTAAACCCTAAACCCTAAACCCTAAGCCCTAAGCCCTAAGCCCTAAGCCCTAAAACCTAAACCCTAACTCCAACAGAGGCCGCCTACAAGGCAGCCGCCAAAAGGCAACCCACGCACTTGTATTGTAAACCCTCAACCATAAAATCGCCTAAATCCTACTACCCTGGGCCCACTCGGACAGTCTCAGGGGTGCAGCTTCCCTTAGGGTTGAGGGTCTAGGGTTTAGGCTCAGAGTCTGTGTCTTAGTCAACCTCTTTGCTGCTCATAAGAGGCTTGTACAAACCCCCTATGCCTGCCTGCAACTGTCCTCGAGGAGGAGAAGGCCTTGGGAGAGGACGATGTCCGAGACCGGAAATTGGAGCTGAAAGAGATCGAGGACTTGTTGGAGGGCATTGGGGGGACTGGGGTTTCGGACCCAGGAAGATGCAGATTCATTTTGTTTTCTTATTAATAGTTCTTGGTTATTATTCTTTGCTCTTATTATAATTCTATTTATCTTTACAGGATTTAATATTTATTGTTGGACTGGAATTCACTTCTCATAGAATTATTTTCTTATATTTTATCATCTTTTATTTGGATTAATTTATAGTTTTCATATTTTTGGTCTAGAGATTTATTAAGAGAATTCACTAAAAAATATGAAGTCTTATTAATAATCTTTTTTCTTCTTTTTGGGGGTTTTCTAGTTTCTGAAGCTCTATTATTTGTATCCTTCTTTTGGACATCTTTTCATTTATTATCTTGTCCAACACCCTAAACCCTAAACCCTAAACCCTAAACCCTAAACCCTAAACTTCACGCACCTTCGGGCCCCCGCGCCGCGAAAGCAAAGCCTGCCTTGCATCCCCAGTTCCCGAGTTTAGGGGTCACTTCTCTTCACCCCGAGTACCCTAAACCCTAAACCCTAAACCCTAAACCCTAAACCCTAAACCCTAAACCCTAAACCCTAAACCCTAAACCCTAAACCCTAAACCCTAAACCCTAAACCCTTTTGCTCGCAGTCCTGAATAGGGAATAAGTACCCCCCCCCCTATGATAACCCTAGAAAAGGGCTGTTAGAATAAGGGGGGGAACATTCCAACCTATTAGCAACTAAGCCCCAGACTTGAAGGTCGCTGCTAAGGGGTGGGGGTTCTTTTTGGGTAATTTTGTTTTCATTTGTTTTTTTTGAGGGGGGGGTTTTCTAACCTTTAAACCCTAAACCCTAAACCCTAAACTACCCTAAACTACCCTAAACTACCCCAAACTACCCTAAACTACCCTAAATACTAAACTACCCAAAACTACCCAAAACTACCCTACGTAAACTAGCCTAAACCCTAAGCCCTAAGCCCTAAACTACCCTAAACCACCCTAAACCCTAAACCCTAAACCCCAACCCTAAACCCTAAACCCTACACCCTAAACCCCAAGCCCTAAAACCCTAAAACCCTAAAACCTTAAAACCCTAAAACCCCAAAACCCTAAAGCCCTAAACCCTAAACACTAAACCCTAAACCCCAAAACATACCACCCCAAAAAACCCCACAAAAAAAAACACCCCCCAAAAAACTGGCTTCGCTTGAAAGGCTGAACGGCTGAAACCCGAAGTCCTAAGACCTGAGTCAAGCTCTACTTCGAGGTGTCTGGTCTTCTCACTTCCTTGTGCCTCCCTTAAGATGATCGGTTTAGGGTTTAGGGTTTAGGGTTTAGGGTTTAGGGTTTAGGGCTAACATATGAACGGAAGGTGCAGAAGCCCCCCCCCCCCCCCCCCTTCCCGCCAATAGTCAGCTTCAGTGCAGGAGCTGCTGCTGGACTTGAACCACTTGTCACAGGCGAAGCTTTGGCTGACGGGCTTAGGGTTTAAAAGTGTAGGGTTTAGGGTTTAGGGTTTAGGGTTTAGGGTTTAGGGTTTAGGGTTTAGGGTTTAGGGTTTAGGGTTTAGGGTTTAGGGTTTAAAAGGGTTTCGCAGGTTTTCACTTAGGGGTTGCAGGATTGGGGTGGTCAAGGCGTGCTGCCCGACAGCCTTAGCTTGTTGCAAGCCTATACACCCTAAAGCCTAAACCCTAAATCCCTAAATCCCTAAATCCCTAAACCCTAAACCCTAAACCCTAAACCCTAAACCCTAAACCCTAAACCCTAAACCCTAAACCCTAAACCCTAAACCCTAAACCCTAAACCCTAAACCCTAAACCCTGAAACCCAGACACTGTCGCGATGTGTCTCAGGGCTGCCAACTCAGGGTTCGTTCCAGACTGGTCTTGAAGAAGCACTCAGCATCTTGTCCCACAAGACCACCTGGGGCCAGTGGGATTCAGGGATTTAGGGGTTTAGGGGTTTAGGGTTTAGGGTTTAGGGTTTGGGGTTTAGGGTTTAGGGTTTAGGGTTTAGGGGTTTAGGGTTTAGGGTTTAGGGTTTGCTAAAGTTCAGGGTTCCGGGTTCTTCACCGAATGGAGCCCGCCAGGCCTGCATCCTTAGCTTGCCTGGGCTTTCCTGCCTCGGAAATTCAGAAGCTCTCGTGCAGCTGATGCAAGAGTGCATCCACTGAGAGATTCAGAGAGTCCAAACCCTAAGCCCTAAACCCTAAACCCTAAACCCTAAAACCCTAAACCCTAAACTCCAACCCTTAGCTACTCAGCAGGACTGCTGAATCGGGGTCCTGTCGAACCCCCCTGTTTTGCTTGCTGCAGCAGGCTCAGAAGAAGCGGAAGAAGCTGGAAATCGATGCTCAGCTGTGCGTACTTAGGGTTCAGGGTTGGTTTAGGGAATAGGGTTTAGGCTTTAGGGTTTCGGGTTTAGGGTTTAGGGTGGGAATAGGGCCCAGGGTTGAGGGCCTAGGGTTTTGTTGTTCATGAGTCTTGTCTTCAGCGAGCACACACTTCCCGAGTCGGCTCTAGATCACCCTCTCGAACGTTTCATTCCAAATGGCCCTTCTGTCAACATGACCTTTAGGATATCGTTCTCATACATCGGTTCGAGCGATGTGCGATTGGTACTGTTAGTGGGCCGTGGCAATTTACTTGCGGTTGGGTGACAATACGTGGAGGATATCGACGCGTCCAGGTAGATTCAGGTTTCGTGCCTTGGGTCTTATAGGGTGTGTGCAAGATTCTGCACACGTGCTCGATGTACGCTTCGACTCAGGCATACATCTCTGGAAGCCCGAAAACCCCAAAATCAGGGCCCTGCGCAGTCCAGGATGTACAGGAGCTTCTAGGACTCGCAAAAGGCCTTGGCTAGGTTCCCTTTGCAAAGCCTCTATTGTTCCGAAGCGCCAGATTGGGGGGCGCTTCGGCGGGATTTCAGGGATTCCATGTTGGGAAGCGTTGGGGGGGCAGTCTTGGGGGTGTGGACAGGTACCTCAGAACAATCCCCACAAGGGGTCCCATCGTCACAAAGCTGCCCCTAAACCCTGACTAAACCCTCTCAAACCCCCTCAAAACCAGAACCCTGCCCCTACTCTTGGATTGAATCCATGGATCTCAGGAGAAAGACCTCAAGCCCCTGGGCAGGATTTAGGGTTTAGGGTTTAGGGTTTTGGGGTTTTGGGGTTGAGGGTTGAGGGTCTGAGGGTCTGAGGGTCTGAGGGTCTGAGGGTCTGAGGGTCTGAGGGTCTGAGGGTCTGAGGGTCTGAGGGTCTGAGGGTCTGAGGGTCTGAGGGTCTGAGGCATTTCGTTCTCAGCCCCTACAACCTCTTGGGGTTTAGGGTTTAGGGATTTAGGGTTTAGGGTTTCGGGATTAGGGTTTAGGGTTTAGGGTTCAGGGTACACTTTACACTTTTTGGGATACCATAAGAACTGAAAGTGTGCCCTTCTGGGGGGCGGCCGGGTGGGGGGGGGGCTTGTGAACTCAGCAACTCAGACCTCACTCAACGCTCAAGTCCATCTACCTACACATACCCTCTACCTATGTGGGGTTTACGAAAATCGGGGACCCCCAAAATGGACCCCAAATGGTAAGATTCCCTTAGAACAAGGACCTGTAATTTCGGAACCCCCCCCCATGTACACACCTTGAATTCAAACCCCGATTGAAGCCCAAACCCCCTAAAGCAACTCCGGGTGGATAGTGCTTCGGGTTTAGGGTTTAGGGTTTAGGGTTTAGGGTTTAGGGTTTAGGATTTAGGGTTTGGGGTTTGGGGTTTAGGGTTTAGTGCTTTGGGTCTCACTGACTCAATAAGATGGGAAGCCCCTAATCAGGAAAAGCCAGGAATGTGGAGGACATAGCAGGGAAATGTACCAGGGTCCCTGTATTCGTGCTTTTATCCCCACCATACTCTGTGGGTTCTCCTATGCAAGTTTTTTCCAGAATATTTTCCTTTCACATCTGCCACAAGGAAGATCGAGAAGCTTCCGGAAGAGGCTGGCACCTCAGCCAACGCTCACTGGGCCACCCTCGCGAAATGTGGTGTAGACCATACACTGAAAGGTAGGGTTTTCGTGTGTGCTCGAAGCAATGTAGGGTAAGCTGACACTGAGGAGAAAGAAGCCATGCTCAAGGAGCGTGAGAAGACGGCGCGGATCAATCTTGCCTTGCCGGCTATCGTTTCACAATGTGGCTCATGTCTGCGTTTCGGCGTGCGTTTTTTTCTCTCTATTTTTGTATTTTGTTTTGTGTGTGTGTGCGTCAGAGAGTTTAGGGTTGAGGGTTTAGGGTGCGGGGGGTAGGGTTTAGGGTTTAGGGTTTAAGGTTTCGGGTTTAGGGTTTAGGGTTTAGGGTTTAGGGTTTAGGGTTTAGGGTTTAGGGGTGGGTCCGAAGTCTTTGAACCCTACAGCGGAGGGACGGAATCTCGGATCGACGTGTTCGACGCCCGGAACCCCTAAACACCCTGAGCCCTGCAACAACCCATTAGGGCTGATCTACATTCATGAGCCTTTTGGCGGGCTACCTGGCATTAACATTGTTACGTAAGTCATATACTGTAAGTAGAGGTCTTAAGGTATGTGGGCACACCACTTGTAAACGGAGACTTTATCAGTTTAATTGAATAGCATGAGAGCGCGAGGGAAAGGGTTTAAGGGCAGGTAACCCGGTTTAGGGCCCGCAAGCCCGGAACCCGGAAAAAATCATCCCCCAGCTCAATTTAGGGGTCGGAATAATTACTAATCATATTCCCTCATAGTCCTGTTGTAATTTTCCTTAAACCCTAAACCCTAAACCCTAAACCCTAAACCCATTAAGGAACCCGTTTCTAAGTCCAGGCCAAGAAGATCGCGCGCCAGCGCATGCCAGGGCGCTCAGGGGCTTTTGGTTGGGGGGGGGGGTTAGGGTTTAGGGTTGAGGGTTTAGGGTTTAATGTTTAGGGTTTTTTTTTTTTTTGGGGGGGGGGGGGGCTTGTCGGGGTGGGGGATGGAGGCGGAGGGTGGGGTGAGGGAGGGAGGGGGTTGGGGGGGGGGCTCTGGTTCTAACCTTGAGCCTGAAACCCTAAACCTTAAACCCTAAACACTAAACCCAAACCCTAAACCCTGAACCCTGAACCCTGAACCCTAAACCCTAAACCCTAAGCCTTAAACCCTGTTGCCTCCCTCGCCTTCCACTGCGGGTGCCTAGGAAGGACTCAGCGGGCCTGAGAGAGGCCAGGCGAACCCAGGGTTGAGAAGCACCTGCGCCTGAATTCCTGTTCCCTTTGTTTGGCAGGAAACCTAAGTTGTTTCGGGCTTAGGGTATAGGGTTCAGGGTCCAGGGTCTAGGGTTTAGGGTTTAGGGTTTAGGGTTTAGGTTTGCATGGTATTTCATTCGAAAAACCGGGCTGGATTCCTGTTCCCTTTTTTGGTGGGACCAAAGTTGTATACGGGTTTGCATGGTGTTTTATTAGAAAAACTAGGGTTCTGGGGCATTAGTTTTTTAAGGGGGTTTAGGGCTGTTGGTATCCTTACATCGGAACTAAAGTTGGGAGTTTGAGTAGTCGGAACGCAGACGTGTTTGTAGAACCCAGCTGACCTTAAGTGTGGGTTGTCGGAATGCAGAAGGGTTTGTTTGAAGGACCCAGCTGACCTTAAGTGCTTTACAGCAGGGCCTAGTCTGGTCGTTGCTCTAAACGGTGGTCCCTTGTAGGACATGTTATAATTCGGACTCTTACATTGGCTTCGTGATTTGCGGCTTCAGGCATGGATTGCAACTGTCTGGCAAGGTTTGTTTCCAGGTTCATGTACAAGTACTGCTGCAAGCACCTGGTTCAGGGGCAGAAGCAAAAGAACAAAAGGTCATAATGTAGGTCACCTTGCTTACCAAGTGTACTGAGAAGACCCCGTGGGCCTAGAGTGCTTAGGAACTGTATTGGAGTCATGAACCCTAAACCCTAAACCCTAAACCCTAAACGTGTCAACATCAACCCGAAGATTCCCACCCTCTGCGGCTCTCAAGTTGAGACCGGACAACGAATTCAGCCCTAAACCCTAAAACCTACGAGAACGAACAAGTTTCTCCCACATCCTCTGCACCCCGAACCCTCAACCCCTCAGCCCCTGAACAACACCTGGCTCTGGCGGAAACCGCTCCGACCCACCAGCCCATCCACCATGAAGGCCAAAGACCCAGAACCCTAAACCCTAAACCCCAAACCCTACACCCTAAACCCAAAACCCTAAACCTAAACCCTAAACCCTAAACCCTAAACCCCGCAAGCCCACCAGCCCAGACCCTCCAAGCCTGGTGCAGGTGCCTCATCAGTTCGAGGACGAGGCCGGATGCAAGGACTTTTGAGGGGTGTTTCGGGTTCAGGGTTTAGGGTTTAGGGTTTAGGGCTTAGGGTTTAGGGTTTAGAACAATATGTCATATAGTCCCTGATTGGGTTTCAGAGGATCATGTGCAGGAACATTTTTCAGAGGGTAAAGGCCATCCTGCCATCCTGGTTCAGCAGCCCCGCAATGGCATATCGCTTTCGTCTTTAGACAGTTTGAGGTTCACCCTAGAACCTAAATCCTAAATCCTAAACCCTAAACCCTAAACCCTAAACCCTAAGCCCTAAGCCCTAAACCCTAAACCCTAAACCAGGTGCGTGGCGCAGGGCAACAGAGAAGAGAGAGACGTTTAGGGTTTAGGGTTTAGGCTTTAGACTTTAGGGTTTAGGGTTTAGGGATCCTGTACCACAGCGTACCTAGGTAGGTCTTCGGGGTGTTTTCTATTTTCCCTTATTGGGTTCAAGAGAATCCTATTCAGGACATTTTTTAAGAGGGTGTTTAGGGCCATCCTAGTACCAACTAGGGCTTAGGGGTTTTAGTGTTTAGGGTTTAGGGTTTAGGATGAACAAAAACACTGCGGATAATGACGTGGACAGTGTTTCCAATCATCATATGTTTGGGGTAGCTATTCCAGCATGAAACCATTTATGTAGGGCACCGACGATGGGACCACAATGTAGAGAAATACTCAGGAGATCAGCGCATCATGCAAAGTACTCCCTGCACCCGAAGACACCCCAAACCCTGTGCACCCTAAACCCCCCAATCCTACAGCGCAGACTAACCCCAAAACACCCTTAATAAATACATAAGTCAATGGATATTTCAACACGGTGCAGGCCCAGTACATCAGCAGCTTTTCACCGCTGTATTTCCGCGAGGTGCTTTGGTTTCGGGTTTTAGGGTTCAGCGCTTTTCTAAGGGTACCTATACGGGCCGTTGATACGGTCCCTTCCCTTCTTGGAAGGGTTCTGAAGTATGGGCCCTTGGGTTGTGTAGGGTGTAAAGGGCGTGCATAAGGGGTCCCCGTTTAAGGGCCCATATCAAGGGACCATGTGTCTACCCTACGAGCTTTGGGTTTAGGGTGGGGAAGTCTGAAAGTGCACCGAGGGATTGTCATTGTCTTCTTGGGTGACAGTCGGACCATGTGTTTAGGGTTTAAAGCCCTAGGGGTTTTGGGTTTTCGCGGGCCTTAGCCTACTAGCCCCGGTGGTGGTGCCATTGTTTTTTGGTTTTCGTTGTCAAATGCTACATATTGACAATCCGAAATGGCCCTACTCCCCGAAATTTCCTCAGCACTGGACGTCAGCCGTCCCACCCCGGCTAAGCCCTAAACCCTAAACCCTAAACCCGAAACCCTAAACCCTAAACCCTAAACCCTTATGATGCACGGAAAGTCAAAAGCCAACCACGGAACTTTGAAAGGCGCAGGCGCAGATCCAGCGCTGCAAGCGAGGGGCTCACGGGCAAGGAGTTGGGAGGGGCTCAAGCTTTGAGGTTTCTGGTTCGGGGTTTGGGGTTTAGGGTTTAGGGTTTGGGATTCTCCCACCACCCCACCAACTGCCCCCCAGCCTACCCCTACCAGGAATTAGGCTTACAGGTACTGTAGGGGGTAGGGGGTTTATGTATGAAAGCGCCCACAAGCTAGAGACCTTATAGATAGACTCATAAGAACAAGTAGCGATGAAGGCTTTCGGGTCTCCAAGAAAATGGGGTTTCAGGGACCCGAGTATAGACCCCCTCAAATAGTAGGAATCCCTCATGATATGGGCCCCAATAAGCTACCCCTAAGATCGTAAACCCTCAAAAAGAGGTTTCAAGGGGTTAGGTGTATTAGGTTTTAGGTCTACGGCGCTGTTTTGAAGGAGATGGCAGAGGCCCCCTGGCCTGTATGACCTTAACGGAGGGTTTTAGGGTGCTCCAAAACCCTAAACCCTAAACCCTAAACCCGAAACTCTAAACCCTGAACCCTAAACCCTAAACCCAAAACCCAAAACTCAAAACCCAAAACCCAAAACCCAAAACCCTAAACCCGAACCCGCAGATGCGTTGGCGCACCTGAAGGCGGTAGGACTAGAATTCCGGGGCTGCGCAAACAACGCGACCTTGCGACGATCCTGGGAAGCACCTGAACTTCGCACTGCCTTCTAAGATGTACCCCCCCCTAAACCCTAAGCACATAAACCCAAAACCCTAAACCCAAAACCCAAAACCCTAACCTCGAAACCCGAAACCCTATACAGCTCGAGGCGCATATGCCATGTCCGTGACCATGCTGGGAGAGCGACCGGTCCCCACTCATCAGCCCCTCATTCGAGAGGCGGTGAGGAGACCCAAAGGGAGAAGAGAGCCGAGCCGGAGCGGACGCGGAATCAGCAAGGGCACTTGCCTGGGAATGCAGCGAATTGCAGAGTCCTTGACCTTGGCTTATAAGAGGGTGCAACACAGAAGCCTGGAGCCTGGAACCCCCTAAGCCCTGTAGCCGTAGCTGTAAACCTCTAAAGTCCAAATGCCCTCATCTTCACATCCCCCTAAGCGCTGTGCTGGCACCGTCGCTCTTTCAAAATCCGACAATAAACTCGGGACTAAGACGTGTAGGATTTAGGGCTCGAGGGTTTAGGGTTCGGGGAAACTCCAAACTCTAACCCCTTTAAATCCCTCGACCCTGCAAACCCACCTCTGAGGGACTCCGAAATGGCCAAGACGACCGAACAGGCAGCAAAGTGTGGGCGGCGCCTAGAATCGAAGGGCTTCTAGGATTGACGGTTTTGGGCTGCGGGGCGTCGGGCAGTACGGTTGGGGCGTTGGTTTTTTTTTGGGGGGGTTAAGGAGTTTGGGGTGCCCAAGCCCGAAACTCTAAACCCTAAACCCGAAACCCTAGCTGTTTTTGTACAGGTTCTTGGAGATGGCGCCTCGAAGAGACTTTTTGATAGGCTTGGACTTCAGCTGATAGGCAAAGGTGTGTGAGATCCTCACATGAAGGTTTTGGGGGCTACGGGTTTGAGGGGTTCAGAGCTGGAGGATGTTTCGTGAGGGGCTTTTAATTTTCAAAAAATATGTATGTGCATGTGTATGTACATATATGTATACAGTTGAGGCCCAGAAGTTGGAACGTCTTTATCCTCATATCCCAAGAGGCCTCAAGTCATCCTTAAACCATGTTCCAGCTTTCTGGAGTTCACTGTATATACAAACCGTATAACCTAACTCGGGTACAAAAATTAGGGTACTGGGAAATTAGGGTACAAAAAATATTAGGGTACAAAAATTAGGGTACAGGGAAGTTGTGGTACCAAAAATATTCGGGTACAAAAATTAGGGTACAGGGAACAGGGTTTAGGCTGTGGGAAGCCAGCGATCGCCTGTTTTAGACGTCGCAGGTGTCCTTTCACGCCCTCCGCCTCGACCCGCCCTTCGCCACTCGGGGGCTTTCAGGGTGGAGGGTTTAGGGTTTAGGGTTTAGGGTTTAGGGTTTAGGGCTCAGGGCAGCGTTGCAAGGATTGAGGGTTCAGGGCTCATTAGAGCTTAAGCTTCACCCGAAGCCCCAAACCCTAAGTGCACTGCAGCTGGCAGCACGCTGTTCCTTGTTGCACTGCCCGGGTCTAAGTGAGGCTCCTCATTTTCAGGGCCCCGCTTTTTGGGGGCCGGGTCTCTTTCAAAAAAGTTGCCTGTGCAGGGGACCTCATGTTCAACGGCACACGCAAAGCCTTGAACCATAAATGCCCCCCAAGCCGATTTCCCTCAGAGCCTCAAGAGCTCCGAACCGGAAAAGCCTTTTGAGCGTCAAGGCTTTAGGTGCAGGGGTTTTTGAAAGTTGTTGTGGCCTCCCGCTTACTTCATGAAAGCGCCCCATGTGACAAGACCCCCGCCCCAACGGGACTGCCCTAAGCCCTAAGCCCTAACCCCTATAACCCCAAACCCCAAACCCCAAACCCTAAACCCCAAACCCCAAACCCTAAACCCTAAACCCTACACCCTAAACCCTAAACCCTAAACCGCCTAAGGTGAAGCTTGAGCTCACCCGCAGCAAAGAGGCCTGCGGCGTCGCGCTGCCTCTCGGCAACGTTTAGGCTTGTGGAAGGCTTTAGGCGCCTCAGGGGTTCAGGCTCCCTAAACCCTAAACCCTAAACCCTAAACCCTAAACCCTAAACCCTAAACCCTAAACCCTAAACCCTAAACCCTAAACCCTAAACCCTAAACCCCTAAACCCCTAAACACCTAAACCCTAAACCCTAAACCCTAAACCCTAAACCCTAAACCCTAAACCCTAAACCCTAAACCCTAAACCCTAAACCCTAAACCCTAAACCCTAAACCCTAAACCCTGAACCCTGAACCCTAATAAACCCTAAACCCTAAACCCTAAACCCTAAACCCTAAACCCTAAACCCTAAACCCTAAACCCTAAACCCTAAACCCCCTTAGAGGCTCATTTCCCTAAACCATAAGCCCTAAACCCTAAACCCAAATTAAAGTCGCGGTTTTTCGGGTTGTAGATAGAGTTTCGGGGGTTGTACGGTTTTGGCTCCGGAGTGTAGGGTGCTCGGTCTTTAGGAGCGGTAGTTTAAGGTTAGGGCTTTACAGATGAATCTGGAGCTTGATCGGAAGCTCCAAGAGCTTTTTTTCACAGTTGATGAAATTCAGGATCTTCATAGAATAGCTTACCACTTGCATTGTCTGTCCTCTGGAGGTTGGGCTGCGCGCTTACATTGCCTGCAGAATATCCAGCTAGCTCATAAAATTAGATTTCGGTTTCACGCGCTCTCACAAAGGTCATTGTTAAAGATTCTGTACTATGCGTTTGATCATCATTTCAGACCCAAGTAACGTACATTACAACACAGTCTGACCACCAATGATACAGTCGAACAGTTTACACTGTTCACCCCGCCGGAATCTTCGCTCCTCAAATCTCGCAATCACATTCGCTCATGGGAAGAGCAGCAACATACCGTAAACCCTATATC